AGCCTCAAACCCCCTGCATGCTAGCAATGCCTGCTCAATCTAGCGCCTTCATCAACCTCAAACCCGAAGGTCCAAACCCCAAACCCTAAATCTTAAACCTCGCAGACCCTAATATAAATATAACTCTCATCAAGAACATGTACTCTATAAGCGCTTAGACTTGAAAACCTAAACCCCGTAACAATTCTAAACCCACGGGGAGGGGTGAGGACTTTCAAAGCCTCGGCTTTGCTTGGTACACTTCTCGATGTGGCATAGGCTTTATTATATTTAGGGCTCACTGCGATCGACGAGTGTCAGGCTTATGTTGAAATTCTGAAGGCTTCGATCGCATCCAGCAACGGAAGAATCCTGAAATGTAGAATAAATCGCCCCCCCGCGGGCTGACCCCCCCCACATGCAATGCTCGCGAAAAGTTGCATATGCTCGCCACACTGCTGCATGCCGGGGTTCGCGATCAAGAGCACATATTGCCCGAACTGTTATTTGGGCACGGACAATATGTCAAGCTATGAAAAATCTCAGAAGTTGCTCAACAAACAGTATTGCCCGAAATGATATTTGGGCGCGGATAATGTATCAAGCGATAAGAAATCTCAAGAGTTGCGCTCAACAATAAGCTGAACCACTTCTTTCTTTCACCGGGCCAGCCAACAGTTGTATTGGAGCATCCATCGTTGGAGAACTCGTGATGACAACGTACTGGCATGTACCGCCCCCTTTGTGCATGCCATCACCTTTCCAATAAAATCTTCCTCGAGATGGCATCCGGCATAGCGAGGATTAAGGCGGCTGTGGCTCAATCTGCATACCACCTCACAATGATACTGGTGAAACTTTGGTCGTATTTTATACCTGAGTCTCTGCATGACAAAAGCTTGACCGGGTTCACACTACACGCTCGACACCGCCGCGCATGTAGTCACATTGCTTATTATAGACGAGAGGCCGTGGCACAAGCATGCCGAGGTACTTCGAAGCCAAAGCCAAGTACGAGTGGCAGTACCATCTACCGAGCCTTAGATCATCACAGATGTCATCAAATTGGAGAACTGCACAACGTGCGAAGGGCAGCAGGCAGCACCGCGATGCAGCAAGGATTCTGCTGCGCCAAGACTGCCTGCTCATCTGTCAGCCATATCGAGCAAGCGTCCAGCAGATTAGCGAAAGCTGTGATCGACCAGGCATTCACTGCCGCCAATCCAAGCTCGGGAGCCGACTCCGAAAGTTCCTTATTATTATAAGCCCACATTCCTGCATGCATACCCACCTGAAAAAACCTGGACCGCAAATCGTCAGAAAATATCGCGAGGCAAGAAGCAGACAGCCGTTCGGCCAAATATGCCATCCTGGGTGCAGGTTTCGT